AAGTATAAATACAAGTGATTCTTGTTAAAAAAATTCTTTCATGACGAAAGTAAATGTTTTTCCTTAAATCAAATGCATTAACATATTATTTTACATACTAAGAAAAATGTAAACTAAACGTGTTTACATTAAAAAAATATTTATTTTAAGATCATAACTTGCTGATAAAGAATGAATATATATCGCCATAAAAGATGAATTATTTTATTTTTTCACTTTTAATTAAAGATTTTAAATTTAAGTTTGAAAAATTTAAAAAACAAAAAACTATTAAAAGCATCACCAAACAAAATGGTTGAATCTGAATTTAATTAAATCCTTATGCAGATACCATGCATTAGACACCTGAAACAAAAACAAAAACTTATTTACTTTCAAGTGTGCTTACACATTCATAGCTAGAATGACGTGTTGGAAAAGAGTATATATTGTTGATCAAGTATCACACATTGCAATGATCTTTTCTATCACGGCTAGCTTTAGGGTATGAGTTAGACATAAACATAATTTTACATGATATCAGAATTTAAAATTCTTTTGCTCGCTCAGTATTGATTCAAAAAAAAAAAGTAACACATTGCAATGACCCATTCTACCAAAAAGCATGTAAACCTTTTTACTTCACCAAATAATTATCGCTTGCTCCATTAAACGTAAGTCAACAAACTACCTTATAAAGAGGACACACATATCTCAATTGATTTATATCATAGAGAATAAACTAAATAAAAGTAGTTGTCCACTGGACAAACTACTAGGAAGTTATAGCAGTTAGGACTTAAGAAGGGATGCAAAAAAAAAAATAAAAATAGTGGCACTATTGATGATTCAAAGGAGAAAGATGTGTTACCAAAGAGTTGAATCTCAAGCACCTTGACCAAAGAAAGCATAAAATTAGTTGTGGAATGCTCAACTACCAAGGAAATGTGAGAATACTATCAAAAAAATAAAAAACAATTAATTTTGCTAGAAGCTTAGATAAGACACCATATCTCATCCTTAATCAATTTGTTACTGCTCTGACAGACTTTTATATAAGGGAAGAGGAAAAAAAAGCGCCATAACAAAATAATAACATTGTATTATCTGTCCAAAAAGGCAAATGAAGAGGAAACAACAACATCAATATACCGAAACATTGACAAAATAAATTTTTGTTGGGTATTCAAAGTTTTATTTTTGCTGGATATTCAGCAACAACAACAACTATCAAGGAGATGTGGGAATACTATCAAAAAAATAAAAAACAATTAATTTTGCTAGAAGCTTAGGTAAGACACCATATCTCATCCTTAATCAATTTGTTAATGCTCTGACAGACTTTAATATAAAGGAAGAGAAAGAAAAAGTGTCATAACAAAATAATAACATGGTATTATATGTCCAAAAATGAAGAGGAAGAGCAAACAACAACATCAATATACCGAAGCATTGGCAAAATAAGTTTTTACTGGATATTCAAAGTTTTATTTTTGTTGGATATTCGGCAACAACAACATCGATATACCGAAGCATTGACAAAATAAATTTTTGTTGGGTATTCAAAGTTTTTTTTTTACTTGATATTCAAAGCAAGCTAGGAGTAACTGTTCCTCTACTCCCTACTTGAGGGAAAATGTTGAAAAAGAAGAAAACTGACGATTGAAACATGTCAAAGGAACAGGTCCAATGCAGTTGACTGACCGACTAACCTATCTAATTAGAATCACATTAGGATTAGATTAATTATATTTATTAGAATTATATTTTGTCAATAATTATATTAGATTAGAATTATATCAAGACTAGTAATAGATTAATATTAGAATTATAGTATGATTAAGATTTATATTATTTATAATTACATTATTATTATTATAATAGTAGTATGTATTGTAATAAGAGTCTAAGTATAGTTCACTTAGAACTTTACAATTCTCTCATATATAAGAGCTTGAAAGATATTTGTAATAAATTAACATAGAACATCCAATAAACAAATGATTTAATTGATCCATTTGCATTGGGACCAGTGCTTAAAGCTCTGCTAATGTCATTAAGCCTTGGTTTGAATCTTATTTTTATATTTTTAATTTTGCTATTTTTAAAGCATTCACAATCTTAAAATTATAGATCAATAGTCGAAATTCATTAAATGCATCAAATAGTATAAAGAAATTATGTTTCCAATTCAAATATTAACGTGACTTAAACGCTAGATACATAATATATAAGCATTTCTCTAAAGAAAATTAGACAATGAGCTGCATAAAACGTAAGGTGGAAGAAGTGATAAGTTGCTTGATTTGATACAACCTTAAGAAAAATAAATAAATTTCTATTTATGACTATAAATTTTTTTATTAAGGGTAAAATACCGCAGAAAATATAGAATTAACGACAGATGAAATTTCACAACTAAACTGCAAAAATGCCATGCTAATTTCATTTAGGGACAAATTATATATTAAACTGCAATTAGCTAGGAGATATTTAGCAAGTATTAGTAAGATCTACTAATAAATTCCATAGATAATTCTATATTTTTGAAATTAAATTATTTCCAACTCTAAAAAAATAGTATTTTTTTTTAAACTGACTAAAAAAAAGTAAGTTACATGAATTATATAAAAGAAGTATTATTTTTATGACCATTATGAACTAAATAAGGAAATAAAAGAAAACTAATCTCTAACAAAAATATCAAAATCTATTGGTTAAGTTTGTCCTAGTATAGAAGTGTCCAAAACTCTGAACCTTCTTTGCACTTTCCTGACGATGTTAAACTTTAACATAAAAAGGGGATTCCATTGTGAGATCACAAGTATATATGTATGTTCTTAAACCTCTCAATTCTCAATCACCCTGATTTTTTTTATTCTTGTGGACAAATATATATTATTGAAAAACATTAGTGTAATTACCAAGTCTGAATGCTTCACAAAAAAAGTTTTAACTAAATTATGGGCACTGATATATGGTACATGATCAATTGAATATCTTATTTCATTAGAAAATAAGTAACATAATATAGTAATCAAGAGATACAGTCAATAACTTGGTACAATCAATTAAGAGAAAATTATATATAATAGCAAATTAATAAATCAAATTAATTGTTATAATCACCCTTTGATTTAATTGTGTCCCATAGCAAACTGTTTGTCAGTCACCTCTCTCTCTCAAAGTCTCACTCGCCACTCTCCTCTGTCGCTCGTTTCCTCTCACTTTTATACAAACACAAGTAGATAAAATATGTTTCTATTTGTATAAAGCAAGAGGAAATTGATAAATACATATATTTTTGTTCCCCTCTCTCTCCTCTCCCAGATCTCACTCACCACTCTCCTTAATCTCGCTCGCCTCTCTCGCTATACAAACAAAAATGAAATGTGTAAATTGTCTTTCTGTTCATATAAAGCGAGAGAAAATTGTATATAAACATGCAAATACATATATTTTCGTCCTACACACTTATAATTATACAATTAAAATACTCCCCTGTCCAATTTCTTTTGCCTTTCTCTCTTTCTCGTTTCATACAAATTCAAATTGTAAATAATTTTTCTCTTTCTCTTTTTGTACAATCCGATTCAATTGTATATTCCCTGCCCAAGTCTCTTTTGCCTTTCTCTCTCTCATTTTAGACAAATTCAAATTGTATATAAAACGTTCTATACACTTATAATTATACAATTCGTTTCATACACTTTGTTTTATACAATTCTCTGCCCAAGTATCTTTCTCTTTCTCGTTTTATACACTTCGTTTTATACAATTCGCTTCAAATTGTATATGTATAGCGAATTATATATTTACATGTTTGTTGTGGAGTGCAATCATACAAACATTGTTATAGCATACAAATATAAATTTTATGTTTGTTATATATGAAAGTTGCTAATCAATTAAAGCACATAGATTGTATGGTTTTTTTTGCACTATGAGTGTGTATAAAATAAAAACTATGTTTCCATTCACAAATAAGTTAGAATTTGCTATATAAATCTTTCCTTCTCCATTTAAGCTTATTACATATCGTGATCATAATTAGAAACAAAACTTATTATTTAAGCTAACTCATCATATGTTACGTGCACGATACATGTTCTAAGGAATATAATCAATTTAAATCTATGCTAATCTTGTATGACGTACTGAATATCATTCTTAACATAAGTAATTCTGCAACACATTTTGTGAATATTAGACGTTAGTATAATATTCAATGTCATATAACATTATTAGTAGGGAGGATATTGACAATGCAATGATAATGGAACAAAATTCCAAATCCATATTATACATGATGTTTCATTTTCGAAGTGCACATAAATGTTTGAACAATGAAGCTCCTAATTTGATATCTCATGAACATTTAATATAATATGCCTAATAATAAAACACAACTCAATTATTGTACTAAATATAACGAATGCTCTCATATTGTAAAGTACATTAACCATAAATCATGATGCATCATGCATGTCCTTGTACTTGATGTTACAAAACTATAGTGGCTTTTTTTCTTGTTCTGTTGCAAAAAATATTCATGGAATATGACCATGATTTAAAGGGTCGTCATTCCTTTTGCATGTAATTTTTTCACCAATGATATATATATGTACGTACTACGTACACAACATAATGCACCACGCTTTTTATTTTATTTTTTTAAAAAAATCTATTGATATAAAAATATACGTGTATAAACTGTAATAACTGTGTAAAATGTATTATCAATTATAATAATTGATAATTCAAAATATTTAATAGGCGAACAAACAATGTTGTAGGAGGTAAAATGGATAATTTTTAGAGTGCATTTAAACAGTTCATAACCTAAGCCCTAGGCTAGTATCACTTTCCATAATATTTATTGTATGAAGCACTATAGAGAGAATATTTTGAAGTTTATAAAAACAAAATTTACATATTTTGGCAACTATATAAACATATTATTAATAGTTGACAATTTAAAATATTGAATAGACATATTAAAAGAGTTCAGTTGGTGGTCGGAATTCAAAATTTCTGCAGAGATATTTCTCAATTCTTTTTAAGAATAGTTACTTACTATCAATATATGTGTGTGAATTAGTGGGAGGTTAATTAAAAATTAGTAATATATAATTGTCTGCTCCGTTACTTGTTAGCCAACCTTTTGACATTTCCATTGACTTAACTGAAAAATTGAGATTGTAAGATATCGAATGGCTAAAATGGTGACTCAATTTCTTCGGCTACTACAAACATTAATTCCTATAAATAAGGTTGTAACGTCCATGAATTTTTTGTTTTCCATTTTCATTGAAAGCTATAGAGACATTTGCGTTTCACCATTGCAAAACCCATACTGAATCATCCATCCTTCTCCCCGCCCGCCGTCACCACTATCGCCACCTCCTGACCTCCGTTTCCGTTTATGGCCAATTTCATCATTTCCCTAAACCCCCCATAGAAGTAACAAATTGCACCTTGATTATTATTATTATTATTTTCTTTGATATTTTTTTTTATCTTTTGTTAATTGATTGTCCGCTATTACGATGGCGGACATAGTGAAACAAATTCTAGCACGGCCAATACAATTGGCAGACCAGGTAACAAAAGCGGCAGATGAAGTTTGTAATTTTAAGGCAGATTGTCTTGAAATTAAAGCGAAAACAGAGAGGCTGGCCGCGCTGCTAAGACAGGCAGCGCGAGCCAGCAATGACTTGTACGAGCGTCCAACGCGTCGAATCATTGATGACACGGAACAAGTTTTAGACAAGGCACTTACTCTTGTATTCAAATGTTGTGCAAGGGGATTGAGTCGGGTTTTCACGATTATACCAAATGCTGCATTGAAGAAAACGGCACAACAGCTTGAGAATTCATGTGGTGATGTTCAATGGCTGTTACGTGTGTCTACTCCAGCGGATGATCGTGATGATGAGTATCTCGGGCTTCCTCCTATTGCAGCTAATGAACCAATTTTGTGTCTGATATGGGAACAGATTGCAATTTTGTGTACAGGGTCGTTAGAAGATCGTTCTGATGCAGCGGCTTCGCTTGTATCATTGGCTAGGGACAATGAGCGCTATGGGAAGTTGATTATAGAAGAAGGTGGGGTTGCACCATTGTTGAAATTGGCTAAAGAAGGGCGAATGGAGGGTCAGGAGAACGCATCGAGGGCTATTGGTCTTCTTGGTAGAGACCCTGAAAGTGTTGAACAAATTGTAAATGCTGGTGTTTGTTCTGTGTTTGCTAAGATTCTAAAAGATGGGCATATGAAAATTCAGGTTGTAGTGGCTTGGGCAATTTCAGAATTGGCTGCAAATCATCACAAATGTCAAGATCATTTTGCTCAAGCAAATACTATTAGGCTATTGGTTAGTCATCTTGCTTTTGAAACAATTCAAGAACATAGTAAATATGCTATTGCTACAAAACATCAGAACATGTCCATACACACGGCTGCCATGGCACATTCTAATTCTTCTAGTACTAGCAAATTCAGTGATACTGGAGGTAAGCTCGAAGATGATGACAATAGAACTCATAGTAAAATTCTTCATCCTATGGATAATCAAGCAACCAACCAAATGCATAGTTTGGTTTCAAGCGCGATGGCCTTGAAATCCCAGGCACAGAATCAGCCCAACAATCCTATATCAAGTACAAATCAACAGCAGCAGCGACAAAACCCGAATCAGCAGAGGAGCCACCATGTTGGACTGACAGGGACTAGCATTAAAGGGAGGGAATATGAAGATCCTGCTACAAAAGCTGAAATGAAAGCAATGGCTGCCAGAGCACTGAGGCATCTGTGTGCAGGAAATGTTAGCATTTGTACTCATATTACAGAATCCCGAGCTCTTTTATGCTTTGCCGTTTTGCTAGAGAAAGGCCATGATGAAGTACAATATCATTCAGCCATGGCACTTATGGAGATCACAGGTAAGTGTATCACATTTAGGCTTTAGCTAATAAAATAGATGTGTTTATAAATCAACGAAAAGTGAAGGTTGTAATCCGTTTTAACCCTTGTGGATTAACTTAACTCGTTCTGCAGGAGTTGCTGAGCTAAATTCAGACTTGAGACGTGCAGCTTTCAAGCCGACTGCACCTGCTGCCAAAGCTGTGCTTGATCAATTTTTGAGAATTATCAACCAGGAAGATTCAGAATTGCTCATTCCAAGCATCAGATCTATAGGCCATCTGGCAAGGACCTTTCGAGCAACGGAAACCAGACTCATTGGTCCATTGGTGGTTCTGTTAGATGATAGGGAACCAGAAGTAACTAGGGAAGCTGCAATTGCATTGAACAAATTCGCTTCCTCCGATAATTTCCTGAGAGTCAATCACTGCAAGGCCATAATACAGGCAGGAGGTACCAAGCACCTAGTTCCACATGTTTACTTTGGTGAACAAATGGTTCAAGTTCCTTGTTTGATTCTCTTGAGTTACATAGCAACCTATGTTCCTGATAGTGAGGCATTAGCTGATGACAATGCACATATAGTGTTGGAGTGGGCTACAAAACAGGGACACCTAATGCAAGATCCTACTGTTGAAGAACTTGTGAACCAAGGCAGAGAAAGCATGGAACTTTATCAGTCCAGAGGCTCACGCCTGTGAACCTATCAAGTTTTGTAATATGTCCCAAATTTAGGTACTCCTTTAAACTTCCCTCTTCCAGTTTTGTTGACAATATTGACGAGGTAAGGGTAAGATTTGCGTAATACTTTACCCCGCGGGTGGAATTAGAATAGGTATGTTGTTGTTTATACAAGATTATAACATGTTAGTCAATGTACAATGTTAGTCTGATGAAATATGTTGAGTTTGATTCAATTATGCAAGTGTTATCATGGTTTAGGTTGAAACTCGAGGCCCTCTTTATCATGGACCAAAGTTGATGATATCAAATGTGTAACATAAACAAGACACAAGCAAATTCTTGGAGCAGTCCAAGACGCTGGTTAGAGATAGGTAATCAAGACGCAAATGAACAAAACTGGTAGGTTTTGAATCTGAATTCAGTTTTGCTGCAGTCAAATCTTTTGATTGATTCATCTATTTTTCATATAGTTTACTTTGGAGTTGGAGCAATGGCCAAGATTCGTGACCTCTTGATTACTGAAGACGTTACCTCGAGATCTTTTTAGATGTAATTCATTCCCACTTTTGTAACTCGCAATGTGAATATGTCACATTAAGCTTATACTGAATTTTGCACTTGTACTATAGTTAGATCATGTACATTTACCCCAGAAAAAAAAGAGTAGAAAACTTACTTCATGGGCTCATACGATTACGACTTAATGGTGACTTAACATAAAAATGATTCTCCATTCAAAATTAAAGAAACTTGCTTTTAAAATTCCTGTAGTCAAAAGTTGTTATTCCATAGCTAGAACCACTCAATAATAGAACCGTATTCACCAACAGGGTACATAACCATTATCATTAAAGCAAGCCATAAACAAAAGTAAGGGATCATTTCCAACACTAACTCAAAGATCCAAATAACACAAACAAACATGCATTTCAACAAAAAAGAAATTAAGCAATCGAAAAATGGATGTGAAATTTCAAATTGAAAAATTAAAGATAGATTTAAGCAAGCAGCTTAAAAAATTGATATTGCTTCAAAAACATGTATGTTTTTACTTGTACAGAGAGTATTCATTGCATCGTCGACAATGCTAAAAGCTTCAAATAATACTAATACTACTAAAAAAGGCGACCATAAAACACACTGAAAACATAGCAGGCCGCGATCACTGACCACCACTGGTGCATTCACGGGCAAAGTGGCCGTCCTCGCCACATTTGTAGCAACGGCCACCGCCTCCTCGTCCACCACCTCCTGAGTATCTACCACCACCGCCTTCATTCTGGTTACAATCACGAGCGAAGTGGCCTGATTCACCACAGTGATAACAACAGCCTCCACCACCACCTCTTCCCCCGCCGTATCCTCGATTACATCCACTGTCTCCATCACCGTATCCACGGCTTCCACCTCGGCTACCACCGTAGCCACCATAACCACCACCTCCAGAGACCGGTGCTCCATCAGGCCCGGTAACATCAACAGCCTTGGAACGGCCATCATTGCCGGACTCAATCACGTACTCTACTTCCTCACCATCAGAGAGACTACGGAAACCCTGAGCTCTAATACCGGACTGGTGAACAAAGAGATCAGTAGAACCATCTTTAGGAGTTATGAACCCAAAGCACTTCTCGTTACTGAACCATTTGACGATTCCTTTACACCTTTGATCCGCCATTTTTTTACCTCACAAACAGAAATCCTAAAACCCCTTTGGAATTGTTTCAGCAAGTGGATGCTATTTTATATACCTCAGTGCCACCTTGCTGGGCAGTGGGCCATAAGGTTAATTTCATAAAAAAAAGACAAACTGTCAATTAAATGTTTTTCAATTTATTTATTCATTTATCATCATAATATATTCTCATACTCATTTAAAAGGCAAGTAATCAATAAGATTATATAATAAACTTTCCCTAATTCATTTATTGAAAAAAAGATAATCATTTAAATCATAATAATTGCCTCTCTCTTAATTCTCCTTATTTCCTTCTTTTTTTGTTGATTTTTTTCCTTAAATCATAGTATTATTCTTTGGTTATATAATCTGATTTCATATATATTTGTACTCTTGACTGTTTTAAATTTCTTTTGAAAACTGTTTTGTCCTATTTCTATATAATTATCATTTTTTATTTTTGATAACTCTTTTGTCCTATTATATATATAGAGAGAGGCTGTTTTTGACAGAAGGATAGAAAGGCAATTTGGAAATTTTTACTTTATATATTTCTCGTACGAACTGCAATTAATTCATACTATTTTATAAAGTGGAAAATTGCTTACTTTCTAATTAAAAAAATTAGTGTAAATATTTACATAAAGACACATAAATAAAATATCTAGAAAAGTTAATAAAGAGATAAGTAGAGGGGTCAATTATTCCAATGTGATGAGGTATAAAGTTGTTATGCTGTGTATGGAAATTATTCAGCCCAAGAATAATGACTGAGCCCATCACTGGCCCAAATAGAAAATTCCAATAGTGGAATATGCCTCACTATTTGTATTAAATTAAATAATTTATGTAAACTGTTAAATTAAACTAATAAAGTTAGGGTTTTTTCAATCTCCAGTTTTTTGGATTTCTCATGTCGATGATTCATATAAATATATTATAATCTTCTACGCAATTAAAGTATTGTTTAATTCTATCAAAATATAACTATATTTTTAAAAAAAAAATAAGCACAGAATATGATATGAAAGATCACTAAAACAATCAACAAATAATAATAATAATAATATAATTATTGCATGATGAAAATATTGTAAATAATTAAGTCAAAATATAATTTTTGAAGTACTAAATTATTTGAAAATAAATCGGCAAAACATTAATTACATTACTAAATGTTAAAAGAAAACTACAATAAGGTTATATATTTTAATTGCTCAAATCAATATAAAAGTAAATGACAAATACAAAATATTATTGTTATAGATAGTGTTGAATTGATCTCTTTTAGTTTAATTCTATTTTGAGCTTTATTAGAGTTTTATTGGACCATTGAAATTCTAAAATAACATGACTATATATATTTTAAAAAGATATAAGAGTTATTTATAAATTATATCAAAGTAATTATTTCTTCTATATGTAAAATAAATTTAAAAATAATATATATAAATGTCAGATTAGTTTAGTTTTGTGTAGCCTCTTTTAAGTTAAATAAGAAGCTCGTTTAATAAGCAAGGTTTTTCCGATTGAAAGATTTGCCTGCGATAGAGATCACAATCCCGTGAAGGCGGCTAAGCAAGTCTTGTATACGAGCTTTCACCCAGATAAAAAAGACAAGCTAGCAAGAAAAATTATTTCATTAAGTAAGATAAGTAAGAAGCAAGGGCTCAGCTTTCACGCGAAAGTTGTTGCGCAAAAAGACAAATGCATAGCATAAAAGGTTATTTCACTAAGTAAGATAAGTAATAAGCAAGGGCATAGCTATCACGCGAAAGTTGCAAGCGCATAGCTATCGCGCGAAAGTTGCAAGGACATAGCTATCACGCAAAAGTTGCAAGCGCATAGCTATCGCGCGAAAATTGCAAAGGCACAACTATCACACGAAAGTTGCAAAGGCACAGCTATCGCACGAAAGTTACAACACCTTTATTGTTCTTTAGTGCATTTTGTTGATTTTTGGAAGTGAACCTAACCTAGAATCGATGAAGCAAAGCAAACTCAAAAAAAAATTCCCAGGCACCTTTGATATCTTATTTGTCATACGCTAGCACCCTTTGAAATCTTATTTGTCAAACGCTAGCACCCTTTGAAGTAAATTATTGCCATCATCAATGAAAGAATGAAAACAAAAAGAAGACTTGTAGCTTGATCCTTGTATTTTTTCTTCTCAATTACGATTTAATTTAATTTTAGATAATAATAGTAAGCAAATTTGCGAACCAATGTTAGCTTCTTGAATCGGAAATTTATGAAAACAGTTTTTGTGATTCATTCAAGATTTTTATATTCATAATACACCAATCTATTTTAAAATTAATCAATTATCTTCACATGAATCGTCTAATCAACTGGTGATTGATACATCAACAATAAATTTAAGCATCAAGTATGAACTATGAAAATAGAGCAACAAATTGCACATCCATCCATTCACTCGAAATCAGAATAGAACAAACTCATCAAAACCTTTCTTGTGATATTCACTCATCGTTAAACACACATTATCATTGTCAATTATGGGCCAATAAACCCAGAGCTCATGCGGAGAGAGTCTTAGAGCAACTGGGCTTCAACAATTAGTTAAAACTCCAAATGAACCAATTTGATGAAACAACCCCAACAATCAATAATCAACTTTTAACACAAAATACACGCTAGAGGATCAGTTTATCTGGAATATAATAAGAGTCAAAAGTTATACTAATAAGAACAACACTGCCTGCTTAAAAACACAAATAACAATCCAACTCATGGAGTATACTAATAAGAACAACACTGCCTGCTTAAAAACACAAACACAATGGACACAAAAAGGATCAGTTTCCCATACACACAATGAATTCATCTAGCTTCTCACAAAAATATAATATGGAACCATAAAGTGAAAGAGAATTTAGCAGCATAATAATTGATATTGCTTTCGAAAACATGAATGTCGACATGTACAGAGAGTATTCATTGTCGCACCAACAAAACTATAACTCCCCATTACAAAAAGCATGATACTACTAACTACCATCAACCACCAGTACAAAATAAGATAAAAACAAGCAATACTAGAGATAATCATTCAAGACTAACAGTGTCAATAAGCACCGGAAACATAAAAACAGCAAAAACAAACATAGAGATAACGATCAATGGCCGCCGCTGGTGCACTCGCGGGCGAAATGACCTTCTTCGCCGCATTTGTAGCAGCCTCCGCCGCCGCCGCCGCCGCCACCGGAGTACCTACCACCTCCACCACCAGAATATCTACCTCCACCGCCTCCGCCACTGCCACCATCCTGTGGACATTCTCTAGCGAAATGCCCAGATTCCCCACATTTGAAGCAGCCTCCGCCGCCTCCGCCACCTCCTCCATAGCCTCCACCGCCTCCGTAGCCGCCACCACCTCGGCTACCTCCTCCGTAGCCACTGTCACCACCTCCATAACCACGATTTCCTCCTCGGCCACCACCGTAACCTCCGCCTCCACCGTAACCACCGCCTCCGCCGTAACCACCTCCATCACGTCCTCCACCGCTGCGGGAACCTCCTTTAACAGCCGCTTCATTAGGTCCAGTAACATCGGAAGCCTTAGCCCTACCATCTGAGCCAGACTCAATCTGATACTCAACATCCTCACCTTCAGCTAGGCTTCTGAATCCTTCAGATCTGATACCAGACTGGTGTACAAACAGATCTTCAGAGCCATCGGCGGGGGTGATGAACCCAAACCCCTTCTGGTCACTAAACCACTTGACAGTTCCCTTGAGCCTCTCACAACCCTCATCAGCCATTTTTTTCGCTCACAAAGAAAAAGAAACCCTAAAACCCTTTGATTGTGTTCTCTTGGGAAAGTCACCGTGGCCTCTATCACAAAGGGATGGTCAGCTATATAGTGTGAGGCTGAGTGCCACGTTTTGTTTTGGGCCAAGAATTTAGTGGGCCACGATTCTCTTGCTTTGGAGAATTAAATCAACGGTTGGAAATTTACGAGGTGAACAGACGGTCAGGGTCTCAAGCTTGGAAATACGATAAAATCAATGGTCAAATTTCAAAATCATTTGACTATTTTATCCTCTTTATTTGAATACATATAACTGTAGTGCTCAGGATATTATAGTCATTTCGCTATTTTCATGCAGAAAACGTTCCTGTTCCTTCTGTGTAGCAGATTAGCAGTCAAAGAGTTGTCATTCAAATATCAATCAAATTAGTTATTATTTAAAAAAATCATTAAATTCGAATTGGTGTGTTTTATTAAATTTGGTTCTTTTAGATATTTTTTACAACAAAAATATTTTCAGTAACTTATGAGAATTAAATTCAAGATCTTTCATTAAATTTCTAATTGTTCCGTCCCAATTCCTTTTCATCCTTATCCAACGTCTTCCTATCCCTTTCATTTTATTATAATATACTGTACATAAAAAATAATGTTTCTATTCAATGAATTAATTTACGAAATATGGCTTTTCCATTTAAATGAAAATACAAGCGTATCTTTTTACTATTTCTTGTATTTAATGCGATGGTATCAATATCAAATATATAATGCGATGGAGTAGTATTTTGTTCCTAATTTGTTTCACCGCATATCGTAATAGAAATTATTCTAATGTTAGCTACGATTGTTTATATGAAATTAGATATTTTCATACTCAACGAAATTTGATAGATTTTACACAAATTTCATAGTGTTAAAAGCTAATTATATTTTATTCCTATTTTTAAAAAAAATTATAAAAATTCTTTAAATTTAGTTGAATCCGGGTACATGCTAAAACGTCTCGATAAATTGTGTCCTAGTTTTTGATATATCCCGTTACATCATGTCACATCGTTTCTCAATTTTGAGTACATCACTGAATATCCTAGTACATGTCATACGTCCTAAGATATTGCATAAAGTGATATATCCAACTAATATACCACGTAAATAACGTTCCAACTCTCAATATATTGCGTACATTTCAATGCATCGTAATAGAATGTATTTGATTGATACATCACGTAAAGTAATGTATCCTACTAATATATTGCATAAACTAACAACTTTTGGAAAAATAATAATTAAAAAACACAAAATTTTAAAAAATATAATAAAATAAATTATGTACTTAAATAATTTATCCATTTGTTATTCACACTCAATGATGTTAGATTCATCAATCTTAAATTGTGCTTGTGAGACTCTTGTGCCGGCAGTCATATACCATTGTTTCTCGACATATTTAATCCTTTTTTGAGCTAATTTATGGGTTAAATGGGGGCACATTCTATCTTCTTTAAACTCGTGATAAGAAGTGTTTTCAACTAGAAGAATTGCATGTATGTGTGTAATATATCACTATATTACATGATTTGTGTATAAAAGTGTATATATATAATATTTGATGAAATTATATATACATATAGACATGTTGTAATGTAATATTTATGCATTGTATTAGTTCCTTCCCTCAAAGAAATCGATTTTTTTAGTTTGGATCAGTTCTTATCTTCTTTCTAAATAGTCCTAAATTTTAAATATGAACTCTCTATGATATTTTAATTTATAAAATAATATTTTCACTCAAAAAATGACAATTTTTTTAAGTCTAGATTTCTTGTATCGGGAGTGTAGTCAAATTGTACCTAATTAAGTTATTTTGAGAAACATCAATCAGGTAAATATCTTAGAAAGAATCATCTCCAAGTTGAATTAGTTCCTACTTTTTATTTTGCATCTTTTTTGTTGTAATCTGAATATTGCTGACACGCAGTAATTCCAGAAGAAATTGGGATAAATTCTTTTAACGTGTAGGTCATGATTTGTTCACTTGTGAATTAGTATTTTTCACATAAAATATATTGTGTTATTATTTTTTTATTTTTTTACTATTTGAAAAAATATGCAAAGCGCTATAAACTAATAATCGATCATTTAGGCAAAAATCAAGCAGAATCGATCCATTTCACTCCTCTTGTATAATTAGAAAATGCTAAATAACTTTCACTTTGGTTTTTATAAATTTGAGTTCTGTTAGTATCACTGTTCTAAGTCCACTGAATTGTTTGAGAACTTTCACTACAAATATCAGTGTAGACATTAAAATTTTGTAAGACTCTACAAGATGCGTTTAATTCGAGTTGAGACTCTACAAACGGTATTCAACTCAGATAAGGATTCTTGGATGCTATTCAATCCTAAACTCTAAACCCTAGTTTATGGCTATATAAAGGTTACTAAATTCCCTTGAAAGGCATCGCGAAAATTTCATAAAGAGATCAAGATCTCGAATACTCCACAAGTTGATGGTTTATTCATAAAGAGAGATTAAAATCTAAATCATCCTAGTTCGAGAAATACGCTACTAACGACCCTTGAATCATGGATAAATCTTAAGAGAGTAAAATCAAGGGATAATTGTAACCCCAATCTATCTAGATTAATAAAATCATTTTTTATTCAAATTTTATTTGTGTGATTTATTTATTTTCCATATGTTTAAAATTTGTTGCAAAAATCAATTACTTGATCATAATTTGACTCATAATTTGGTAATATATGAGTATACACTAATAAAAAAAAATTGTTAAGATAATAACATGAATTTACATTTATTAACTAGTCGTAGAGGGATGGTGCTGTATCATAATTTCGAGTTGAGATAGTAATGACCTATTCATTAGATAATCTTCAGGGTAAAGTTATAGCCGATTTATGGAAATATCTCCTTTTTAAGTTATTATTTAAAGTTTATCTTTGTTTTTAAAATAGTATAAATATAGATTTTGAGGGCGACAGAAAATTAAATATTTGTATAATATCTACAACATTTTAGTCTGTAATCTAACGTTTTCTCATCTAAGACTTGATTGATAATAGTATTTTTTAATTATATAATGAATAAATAAGAAATTAAAAGTGGCCTAGAAGATGATTAATTTCATTTGAAGATGAGTCATAAGATATTTCATATTTCTTTGGTCCCACAAGTGTAATAACAAGTAAAATGCAGTCAAAAGATGTAGTTGAATAGGCAAATTTTTATTCTTCATTATTGTTCATTTGTCACTTTCCAATCCATATCAATGTTTGATACTCTAGGTAAGTATGTCACTTTCAACCACCGACCCATAAAATATCTTGAAATTCTTTTCTTTAAATATAAGTATTTCGTATCTCAATATTCGTGAAATATTAATGATTTCTCAAATTACAAAATTCAAATTCAAAATATTAGAGGAGATTGAATTTCATACAATCCACCAAAACCTTATAGATTAAGGAATGTCACACGGTCACATCATACACTAGTAAAGATCTAAGCATCATATATTAAAATAAGAACAAAAAGTTGGAAATCTTCACTAGAAATATGTTGCATACTACATTAATTAACCAAATCCTCAAATCAAGCTAAGCAAAACTCAAGACGTGGGATGATGGGGGAGGGAGGGAATGGATTGTGGTCATGACTCCGCAAATTTACACATAACAACCCATGCATCTTCGTCTTCATCTTCATCTATCGTACCAGTCATGCATCTTTTTTAATTTTCGTGACGACCTCATAGGTGGTGATGGTGAGTGATGTTGGCCGGAGATGGGCGTGGAGCACCAACATGAGGGAGGAATGGTGGCGGGGACCCCGGTGGAGGTGGGCATTGGTAACATTTGGTGAAAAGACCAAATGTATCAATTTGATGTATGAAATTGGTCATACTGGCCCAACCACCAAATCCAAACCCAACAATAAGTACCCAAACCACCACAAATATATTAATTGTAAACGATCCAGCCCAACGTCCCACAAATTTTGGTGGTTGCTCTACCGCATTCTGCATAATATCAAAGTTTATAATCACCACATATTTTATAACACACCAAAAGTATAAAAGACAAAAACATCCAAGTGCTACTACTATATTATGTGAGATGTGACTTAACTTTATTATTCTCCATTGGTCCTTGTAAATCATAATATGGTTATTTTTTTTTCTATTTTTAAAGTAATAGTATATGTAATAAAATTTACTAACAATTTTAAGAGATGGCGTAGTAAAGATCGGGTACCTCTCGGGCTGCAGCGGATTTAAAGGTGAACATGTAAGCAAGAGCCGGGATAATGTAAACGGTGAAGCTAACGAGGAGTGAACCAACGGAGGAGTTTATAGGGCCGAAAAATGGGAAAACTATGGCCAGAAACCATATCGGAATCACCACCGGCAACCGTGCTGCCGCCCTCTTACACATGCTCTTGCATTCGTGCATGCCAATAGCCTTCTCCCATACAAAATACAATGGTGTGCAAGCGAAACCAAATGTTATGAACTGTAAAAACAACAAATCGATGTTATTTATTTGCTTGCTCGTTAACATAAAGTCAATATTGAACGAGTAAAAATTGGACCTGATGAATAAGCATGAGGATGACAGCCATGTCTCTGAAGGGTGATTTAGGAAGTAGAGAAAATGCATTAGAGTGATCAAGTAACAAATCACCAAATGCCCAATACACTGATGCTGCTGATGGAAGGGTCAGTGTTAACACATAAAGAGTTGCCCATAAGTAAATTGCCTTAAACTTTTGGGGTTTCCACATAGCATGCATTATTTCTCTGCCCAAACAAAACACAACAATTAGCCTCTCCTAAAAGAAAAATCTTTTAAACTCGTATGTATCCTAATTTATTTGTCATACTTTCATTATTAGTCTCGTTCCAAATGATTTTTACAGTTCACAGAAGCTAAAAATCTAGTTGAGTAAATATCAAGATTTATTTGCAGTCCCTTTCATATTTATGATAGGATACTTAATTATTTCTTGGTTAATGGTACCTTTTAATTATGTTAAAAAACAGAAAAAAAGGAACATAAAAGGAAGAGATGTTCAGAGCATTAAACCATTCATTGATTCAGTAACAAATAAAGCAAAAGTGATTCGAAAAAGATATTTTGCTTTCTAACTTAAAAAGGGTAAAAAGGGTTCATAGTAAGTAATGACTTTTTTTTCTTCCCATGCCTGAGAAAGGCACTCTGCCAAATTGAAAAAATTTAAAAAAAAAAAACATGTAAAAAGATTAAAGTAAAAGTTAACAGTTGTATAGAGAATAACAATAATAGTTTTTTGATAAGGATTGGTCACCACGTAGTAAATGTTAAAGTTTTGAGGGAATATTTAATATCTTAGACAAAAAAATAATACACTACTATATACCATAGTCCGTTTCTTCAGAACAGTCTAAGGTTTAGTCATTTTCACACAAGAATAATGTTGTAGATAGAGGCGGACCTACAAAATTTAGTGGCTTTGGTTCAAATTCCCGCTTTAAATTTAGTCTTATTTGAATTTTATTTAAAAAGGAAATAAATCAATTAAGATATATCTTACACAGTAACAGCATGTCCCCCAAATGTGTAGAGAATGTTTGTTGCTCCTGTGAAATATAGAACCATTTTTGTTGGACCTGAATGTTTCACCCCCTCTACCTATTTTTATAACAAGTAACAAAAAACATTAATCACAATTAATTATTCATGAATAATTAAGATCTCAAACTCTTGAACAACATGTGCTTAAAAATAATGTGTGACTATATTTTTGAAACGATCACGTGGTATATGCTTATAGTTTATTCACTAGCTAAACTTCAGTTATATAAATACGATAAAAAAATAATAGTGTCCAGTAATTATAGGTGAAATTAAATACCTGGCCATGAAGGAGCGATGCGACAGTAAGATACCAAGCAGTGTAAGTGGTCATTAATAAGCCAAGAAAAGACCAGATTCGGTAGTTGTGAAAAGATGGAATGAATACAGTTGTTGCACAACAAGCTCCGAATATATAAGTCCAAGTTCTTTTGTCCAAATTATTATTTATATAATATATATTACTGCAAAATTAAAATAAATTAATCAATCTCATTTTTATTTTTATTTTTAAAAAAAACAGAATATTCAGGGGGGCAGGTAGAAAATTTAAAATAAAACAAACCTTGCACAGGCTATAAGTTGAATTACAGATCCAAACAGAAGAAAAGTACAATTAAATGCCAAACCAACGTTCCTCCAATGTTTTCCAAGTAATCCATCAAGAACTTCAAACCACTATACAAATAAACAAAATCACATTAAAAAAAATTAATTATTACACATTAAATTAAAATACTATAGTTTTAATCAGAATGCCATGTGAAATTTAGAAGTATTGAGACAAAATATCTAGTATTAACCTATGTCTTGTCGGAGTGTCACCCCTTCGAAACTTGAAAAGTTCTTTTTTTTCGATTACGAAAAATTTTGCGTACGCTACTTTGATGTGAATTTTACCTGAATGACGTGGTTGCGGAAATCGACCTTTTCTCTTTCTTTTCTGGTTCTGTACTCAATGTAGAGAATGCTAATGAGATAAGCAGTCCAACTGCCTAGTAAACCGTAGAAGAGTTGAAATGAAACGCCAGAGAGCATTCCAAGTTGAGAAAATGAGTATGGTAGTGTTAATAACACTTGAGCTACCTGAAATTGAAAAAATGAAATTTTCAAAATTTACACACTTATACTTTACGAGAATATCGCAGAATAAGTACCTGATTAGAAGCACAGCTAAACCAAGCATCATAAGCAGAGCCACCATGCCAAAATAAATTAGAGAATTTGGATTTGATGTCATTATTATTATTAGGCTTTCCTTCACTCTCCATCTCAACATAATTTCCAACCATCACTGTTTCCACTACTTTGTCTGTGGATTCCATCTTCAACTAAAAAAAAATTTAAGTAGTTAAAACAGAGTTGAGTGTTTAGTAGGGAAAGCATAGTGGTGTATGTTATATTTATATTGAGTGAAATGAATGTTAAAACAGCTTTTTTTGAGTGGGCCTTGTCGACACATCCTTTTTTTTTTCCAACCTAATTGTCCTTTTAGTTTTTGTTTTTCAGTGGAAAAAAAAAGGGGTCGAAGAAAATGGGGGAATTGGTGTTACGTTCTTTGAAGGGAGAAAATTCGTGACTAAAATGTAGTTGTAACTTAAAAATTAAAAAAACGTACCATTGATTAAATGCTTATTAGTATCTAAATAAATACTCCTATATAGCGGTGAAATTGAAAAAATAATTAAAATATTCAAAATATGAGAAGTGAATACGTAAAAAATTTGTTGAATGTTTTTTTTTTTAACGTCTTGTTTGAATGGTTATTTCTGATAATTTTATAATATATTATATTGTAGTTTATTATGTTAGTATGTGATATTATTTTTGATGAAATAAGACTTGGTAGTTGGTAAAACCATGCTTATAAGCTATTTCCTCACTCACTCACTTCATTTGTCCATTTTTTACTTATTTAATTTATTATCTTATATTTATTTTATCCTTATGAATTATTATTAAGAAATACTCTTCATTATCCGACATTTGAACTAATTATGTCAAGTTTATAAAAACGAAAGGAGTATAAAAAACTATGAATTGAGATAAACAACTTAGGATGTTTATGTGATTTTAACTTAAAAGCACTTTGCTTATAATTTTTTTTATTATTATATCTGTTCATTTTTAATTATTATGTTAGATTTTTTGAAAGTTAATTTGACTAATTTTTAAAGTTAAATTAGATTAAATTAATTTTATATGTTAAATATAAATTTAGATATTAGAAAATTATACAAAATATTATAAATTGTAATTTTTTTAATCTATAATATGATAAAAGATATATCTTAAAATATTAATAGAAACTTCTATAATTTGATTTTAAAAAAAGAAAATTATTTCAATTATAAGTGGACGGAGAAATGAAATGTTAAAATATTTAGTATTACCTCTTTGAAGTTACAAAGGGTGTGATTTTGGGGAAGTGTATAAAAATGTTGGTTTATAGCTTCCAAGTTGAAACAGTTCAAGTTTGCGAGCTTTGACGAATAGCCATGGTAATCGTGCCCAAAGCAATTGTTCCTATGATTAAATCTTTTAATTTAAGCAAATTATTTATTAGTTAAATTAAAATTATTGTCTTTTAGTGCAGATGCTAATGTAATTATGGGAGCGTGACTGGCTTCTTTGCACGAGTGGGTTTCTCTTCTTCCCATTGAGAAATATGCATAACATTTGATTAATTTAACTTAACCTATGCTTCGTATTAATTGTATTTTATGTGCCTACAATAGGAAATGATTTGCCTTAAATCACATTGTACTTATATTCTAATTCTGTCTTTATCTTATGTGATAATGACGTCAACATCAATGTCATTAAGGCCTCATTTATTTTTATTAAAATTAAGAGGTTTGAATTTGAATATACATCTGAATATTAAGATTCAAGTGTTTTGATCTGAATAAATATCTAAATATTAAGATGTGATTTATAAACCTGAACATTAAGTAATTAATGTTGTTTGTTTTCAATATCTAAACGTGAAAGCGAAATTGAATATTATACTAATAAATATTATAAAATTTTCATTTCAACAAAATATATTACTTTTTATTAAAAAAAATAATTTAAAAATTCTAATAATCATGATTTGAAGTACTGTTTTTTCATTCAAAACCTTGATAAATAACAATATACCAAAAATATTATTGCAACCATTGTTCTTGACTCAGGTCAATACAAGAAAATTATTAATATAAAAAAAATACTTGATAAGATTTATGAAAACTTACCTATTGGAAAAAAAATGGTGTTTAATTGATAAAAGAGAAAAAAAATTAGTTATGAGATAAAAAGACACGCTAAAAAAAAAGTTATGATTTATTGATTGATAAATTATCACGTGAGTTTGAATATTGGAAAGAGTCATACAGACCTCTTCAGACCCATTAAGAGGCTTTTTTTAAAAAAAAAACAAATAAACTTAATGAGTTGAATATGAATGATTTAGATTTAGATCTAAAAATTAAACATATTTAATGAGCTAAATCTGAATGATTAAAATTTAGACGTCCATCAAATACAAACAAATAAGACCTAAGACTAATAAGAGTATTAACCTTTTTCAAATTTTCTGGTTTTTTTTTGTCAGAAGTCAAATAACTTGAATTTTGACAAATACATAATTCGGAGAGGAAATATAATTTATAATATTTCATGTAAAAAAATAATATCTAAACATTAAATTATTTCATCTAATTTAACACCAAAAGTCTAATTAAGTTAGATCCTTAAAATCTAAATGTGACAATTATTTCAAGATAAAAGGAGTATCATTTTATCTTTCTTCGTTTCCTTTTTTTGTATTTTTATTCTTCTTTCAAATAATGAGATTATTTAGAATAAATGTCACATGACATTATAAGTACACAACCTAAGACAAAGTAGATAATATGTCGTAAATTCATTATAAATCGAATTACACCAACTCATGTCCATGTAGTTCACAAAGTTCATGTAGAAGAACGAGGAAAATAGTAGTAGTAATAAAGAGAACGACCACACCAAACAAGAGGATGGATTGCTCCTTTCTTTGATTAAATGTACGATTTTAAGTTTTGAATTTGAAAAATCTATAGTTGAAGTAGTAACAGCGATAAAATTTTAAATAAGGGATTTAAAATTTATAGAAATAGATACACATACTAATTGAAGTGGGTTCGATATTTACTATATACACATAAAATATTATTTTAATCATATATAAATAATATAATTTTTCGTCGAACAGAATTCGAATAAACCCCTTTTACCATGATGGCTCCGCCCCTTAGTTGGAGTGCTTTACTGAATCCAATGCAATATAAATTTATATACATCAACATTTAATATGAATATTGAACATCGAACAAAAAAAATTGAAAACGAAAGAATTATAACAAAATAGACCGTATGATTATTGGCAAAGGGGCGTGGTCGCTTTATAGCAAGAAGAAGAAGAGAAAAAAGCTGCTTTTATCACATGGCTTTGGGAGGAAAATTACTTTATTGTCTCGAGAATTTCATTCAATCCATTGCGTCTTCCAATTTACCATCTTCTATATTGCAATACACATTTTGAAACATAGCATATAAATTCATATTTTTTACTCTTTTTGTTCATAAATATTTGATAGATATACTAAATATAGATATCTAAGATTAATTGTTAATTTAAATAATTAATTATATTTTTTCAATTATATTCTTAATAATAACTCCATTTTGTTCAATTGAAAAGTTATATAAATTTTTGATATTCTTACTATAATATGATTATATTAGTCAAATTACAACTTGTATTAAATTTTTTCGTGAAAAGAATACATGACCTTATTCTAAAAACAATTGTGAACGGAAAGAGTAAGTTATAACTTCATTCGTCGCAATTTACTTGACTATCTTTTAGTATTTCAATAAAAATGTTTCTTTGATGGAACTTTCATGTTGTGTTATTCATATTTTAGATGTTAAATTTTATGCAAGAAGCTGCTAAGTATCTCAATTACTTAAGAAAATGAATTGTTATATTTCTATATGCTAATTTTCACTTCGAGAGCTAATTTTTAATAATTTTTTTCTTGAACTTCTCTTATACTATTTTTTGCAAATACGATTACATATTTTATGTACCAATTACCCATTAAAAAACCTACGTTTTCTTAACACTATAGTCTTCACACATTTTAGAGACATAAGGACAAACTTATTCTTTGAGAACTGTAAGATCATGTGCCTTTGAAACTGCGCTGTATCTTGTAAATTTCTCCCATCTCCTTTTTCCATCAATTTATTCATATGTTATACTAATTTCTTATTTTGCTAAACATGCTTCTGAATTTGTACCAAACGCAATATAATCAGAAGTATTGAGTTCAAATTCTATAAAATACAAATTGTCAAGAATACTACTTTTTGAAAGATTTTTTTTAACATAAATTTAACTTAAATTTAATCAAATGTACTAAACAGTTAGTTAGGAACCAAGAAAATGAAAGGCAAACACAAAAGCCTCAAAAACCAAGACAAGAAGAAAGAATAAAAGGACAAATGCTTTTATCATAAAAATTGAAACAGCAAAAAGTGTTAAAAAGTAAGAAAAATTCATCCTTCCCTCAGAAAAGTTAGGGGGACTAAATAGAGCATACTGATTTTGCTAGTGCAAGACAAAAAGAAAATTCACAAAAGAAAAAGTTCTTTAAATTCATATTTATTTAACCAGCATTTTTATTTTTTACTTTTATTTTAAAAGGCAAAGATGTTATTTTTTTTAATACTATTCAGTCCCCAAGGGCCAAGAACCTTTAATTATATGTGTCTTCTGCTTTTTACAGAGGTCTTTTTCGAATTTGAATGTGTCACCTAGAGTTATCATTGATAATTTGCAATGTGATGATGTTAAAACATCATGAGGTCAGGTTTCTTTTTAAATATATATATATATATATATATATATATATATAATTTTTTATGATGTATTTCAATTGTAAATACTAGTTGACGAGATTTATGTTTTTTCTTTGTTTTAACAGTTCTTTCTACAACATATCACAATTTAATTAATTGATTGTCTATATTCCAACGGTTCTAGACATGGGTAAAAGTAGTTCAGATCAAGTTAATATCACAACTTTATTCACCATATAACACCGATGAAAGTAATTGTACTTTACCTACTGTAATAGCAAATTAACAAATACACAGTTTTGTCACGTTTATAATAGTTGAACTTAACCACATGATAATTGTGAAATCACACAAATTTATTCGTCGCAACTGTGATCAGTAGCGAATCTTGGATTTTTATTAAGGGATTTAAAATTTGAAGAAGTAAATTACG